TTCCTTTGCTTCTTGTAGGACCGCTCGAACAATGTATTTGTACCTCCTCGTGCCTCATGTAGAGGTCACCCTTGACAAGCTGGAACTACTTTCCAAGGTTGGCTTGATCGGACAAAAATTCATCAAGGACGGATCACTGCACAGACCTCAAGTGGCGAAATGTATGAATATGTTCTCGATACGAGAAACGTGTTCACCCGATCCAGACAGGTAAATACTTGTGCCCTGGGCATGAATCCCCTGATCCCTTGGTCCAGGCCATGTCCAAGACAATCAACATTCCACTCCACTGATGTCTCATACGAACAAACATTCCAAACAGCCTTACCAGTGAAAGCCGTGTACGAGGCCTTTTCATGGCCAGGTCAACTGACGGATGAATGCCGAGTGTACCGAGTACTTGTACCTATTATGTCAAGACTACCGAGTATAGCTACTTTGGTGCCTGAACATGACCCCTGCCGCAACTGCGCCTCCCGATCTGGAACAAGCTCTGCGTGCTCTGCCAGCCACCCAGTTTTTTGTGTCCGTGATATCTTCACGCGACCTCTGTAAAAATGCTTTGCGAGGCCGGTACTCAACCACTCCTTTGCGTGGTCCGAGAATGGAGCTGGCGGTGGCAAGCTGATGGTTGCTAGCATCTGTTAAGCAGGGACAGAGCAAAGGTGGGTGTTTCAAGCTGGTCGACCTGGAGAAATTCCGAGCCAATCAACGCGGTGGAGTCTCGGATCGAGGCAGCTGGGTCTAACCTCATACGGAATAGGGGCTTGTCGTCACGCGGCTAACCATTGGCTGCAGTCGACCGCATGTTTCCCTCCCCCTGATCATCCCATCCAGCTCTCTCATTCTTCATTCCTGGCCCTTCCTTTTCCCTCTTCTCTCCCCACACCCACCGCGACGGCCTGCTTCAGCCTCCTCCGACCATCTCAGGAGACCCGTCCGAATTGGTCTGGTTTGATATTCCCCTGCGTCATTCCGGAGCAACTTACGATCAAGCCTTGTCCGCATCTCCTATCGCCCCTAACCGATCTATGGGGTATCTCGGACCAATCTCCTATTCCGCAGCTCTGTGCTTCCCATCGAGGTCCACATTCTTCTCACCAGCTCCTCTGTCCTGCGACGAATCAAATATGCATGTCAACATTTTGTGTGAAAGAGCTGTTCAGCCATGTCTAAAGATCTCTTTGTTTTGAGCGGGCTGGCCGAAGCTCTCACTGGGCGCGGCCTTCTGAACAAGCTTGCCACTCCATAACCTTCACCCTGGCCGTCAGTTTGCCACGCGCGAAGGGTACGAGTAGAATGCTTTGCTGCCAATAGAATGCCGTGTTTCATGTACCCCTTGCACACCACTAACACGACCAGCATGGCCTGCACTGACCGGGGTACAGCTTTTGACTTGTCCAGGGGTTTTTGCCGACTTCCAGGTATTGTACAAAAAATCTATATAGAAGCCGGCCAAGACCTTCCTCCCATCTTGAGAGTTTTTCAGAGCTTCATCTCATCTCATTCATTTTTGTCTCGATTGTGGCAGGCTAGTCCTACATTCCTTTGTTGACCTTTGCACTCTTTACCCTGCCTGGTGCAGTACACACGTTCCTTTCAAAAAATCAGTTGACTCAGCAAGTCAGCGACCATTCCTTTGTCAGTGACAAACAGGTACTCCATCCCCATTCACTGTCCATTGCTTCACCAGGTGCTTTGTTTTTGCCCACTATTGTCGGTCTTCACACGCATTGTCACCCATCACAAGGCTGAGGCAGTTGCTTGTCAAATCCTGTTGGCTTTTGTGCTCGATTGTTTGGGATTTTCCATTGTCCTCATCATACGCCAAACCATTTTCCTTTTAAAACCTGCGAGTACTCTATTCATCTTGAAGTTCATCATCACCATATAAACACTCATCCGCTGTTGAAGATTCGACAACTCCAAAACATACCTCTGGCTCCAACATCCAACTGACCAAGTGTTTCAGTGCGATCCAGCCATTGCCCTACCCAACACATTCATTTCTATCTCCAAATTCGACTCAACATCTCTCTACCGACTTCGAAAATGGTGGTCTTTTCCAAGTCTGCGGCTCTTGCTGCGCTTGCCTTCTTGGCTGCAGCAGCGGATGCCCACATGATCATGAAGACTCCTGTGCCATACGGCAAATCATCTCTCAACAACTCACCGCTTCTCGCCGACGGCTCTGATTTCCCCTGCAAGCAGCGCTCCGGTGTCTACGACGCTGAGGGTGCCAGCAACGTCGCCGCCATCGGGGAGCCTCAGACTCTGAGCTTCCTCGGTAGTGCCGTTCATGGCGGTGGATCCTGTCAAGTCAGCCTCACCACCGATCTCCAACCTACCAAGAACTCCAAGTGGATGGTGATCAAATCCATCGAGGGCGGCTGCCCTGCGTCCGTCGCCGGCAATCTCCCCGCTGACCCCAGCGGCACTGGCGCCTCGACTTTCCAGTTCAGCGTACCTGATGGCATCTCCCCGGGTGACTACACCCTCTCGTGGACTTGGTACAATAAAGTAGGGAATCGTGAGATTTACCAAAATTGCGCACCATTTACTGTCACCGCGGCCAAGAAGAAGCGATATGCGCCAGCTCCGAAAACTTCAAAGCGAGCGACTAGCTTTCCCGACCTGTTTGTGTGCAATCTCCCCTCGATCAACGACTGCAGCACAGTTGAGGGTTTTGACTATCATTTCCCAGATCCTGGTGCGGACGTTCAACAAGCAGGAACGGGACCATACACGATGCTCGCAGGCGCGTCAGGTAACGCAGGCCCTCCTTCGCAGCCAACCAACTCCCTTCCAGCTGCTCAATCTCCCTCTGCGCCGGCAACTTCTGGTCCTGCACCCACTGGACCGCCATCCTCTGGACCACCTGCTGGACAGCCACCTGCCGGACAGCCACCAGCGTTTGCGAGTGGCAACGGTGGACAATACTCGGGATCCAGCCAGGCAACGCCCACCGCCGCACCTGGAAACTTTGCAAGCGGTGCATCTTCGGTACCTGCTTCCGTTCCTACCTCGTCAACTAGTGCTAACCCACTACAGGTAATTCCCGTCACGACTCAAGCCACCGCTGTGTCAACCGCTGCCGTAGCGGCTCCCACTGGCGCGTCTTCTGGGTCATCGAGTGGTTCCGCCGCCGGTGTTCTGACAGGACCTTGCTCCAACGAAGGATACTGGAACTGCATTGACGGAGGCAGCTTCCAGCGTTGCGCCTCGGGCAGCTGGAGTGCCGTCATTCCTTTGAGCGGCATGAAATGCTCTCCCGGGGTCGCGGCCAATTTCGCCATGACTGCGGCCAACGCGAGACGCTGGGCAGCCTAGATCCATCACCTGGTTGTTCACCCATCCGTCCGTCCACCATGGATATCTACCATCACTGTCTGACACTAGCACCCGTTGGAGAAGGGTGAAGAGTGATCGCTCGTGATATCTTCGTGGATATCAGAATTTGTTTGTGGGGAGGCTTGTCGGAGTGATGGCGCTTGAGAGGATATCCAACTTGTCCTGGCCATCACTCCATTTTTGCATGATGTTATGAAATTCCTTTTTAGCAATGTCTTGTTTTTTATTTCACTTCTTGTACGCCACGAGCGCCACGACGCATTACCAATGGAAAAAAGGCATCTCATGGGGGCAATTCTTTCATGGGCGAACAGGGGCGTTTGTGCTAAAACAACTTTTGTCACATTTTTCGGCAGGACGAGGTATCAGACCTGAACTGAAAAAAAGAGGAAAAACTCCTAGAGATCATCTAGGCCTTCGGGAGGCATGTATGCAATAGAGAGTCATCGGAGGATTTTGAGACGATTGGGTGGTGGGAAATGGCCACACGGATTGAGAGAAAGTGGGCAAATCTGTACAGAAGATTTGACGCCCTAGATAAAACGCAGACAATGACAAGAGGGTTGTAAAACCAAATCTTTGGTTCGAGAGTCGGATTCTTCCATGTTGGATTTTGAATGTTATGTTGTGATTGAATCGTGCTTCACAAGCATGACCGATAAAATATCTTGGCTCGATCTACTGGGCCGTTGAATGGCTGAATGGATCTCTTGTGCAAGGTATTGACGTTCCAGTAGCGGCCTCTTGGCTGGAGTAGATCCCACTTCACATGATATTTGTGTAATTAAGTGCCGTCCGTCACTGTTATCTCTCTGATAGTCCTTGTCTGGGATTTGTACCTCGTAGATTCTGGATCACGAATTGCTGGGGGGAACCATTCGGGACCATTCCAGCTGACAAGGCTGGGCACCTCAGGGGGCGTGAATTGTGAGAGCATCAAGACTGACTCATTGTTCTATGAAATTATCAACGATTTTCGATATCGAATGTCCCATTTCCCCCTCCTACCTTGTGGTTGTCCGAAGTCTCGAAAGATCACACCCGTCCTGCCCGACCTCAAGTAGCTCACGTCCATCTCCGCCCTATCGTAGTTCAACGTTCAAGAGAAGACAAACACGTGGGCATCGTCAGCTCGCCTATTGCAAAGCTTTCTCCATATCAGCACCAGCACCGGCAGCAGCACGTCTTTTCAACACAATGCATCGGAATATCCTTGCCGGCATCGTCAATTTTCTTATGCACATTTCTTTGTGCTAGAGATCGGGGTTTGTATACTCTTTCCCGAGCAATCCTCGCCAGCTGAAGAATTTGTGACCGGGACTGATTGGCCTGTTATCGAGACACACGGACCAATGGTTTCTTGTTCGACTCTCACGTGTGTGCTACTTCGTGTCAAGCTACTCTTTTGTAAAAGAGGGAACCAACACTCTACGGGTTTGACGGTGAGTGAAGCTTCATGGGAAAGCTTTTTTTCAAGCCCACTTGGGCCGAGGAATGCTTCGAGCTCGTTGCTTCTGGCATCCATAATGGAGTTCTCGTGCTCGATGCTATATTAACCTCTCTTCCTTCGCCTCGCTCGAGTCAACTGGTGAGTGAGTATTTGTTTTTGCCAGCTCCTGTCTTGCTTTGTCGTTTTATAGGTCAGAGCCATGGCTGTCCTCAGGACTCTGTTCTCCACGCTCGTTGCAGCGACGGGGGTTCTCGCGGCTTCACGGCCCTACTCGTCTGCCTACCTCGCGAAACAGTTCCCCCAGACGTTCACGGACTCGTACAACATCCTCAAACATGTGGGTGCCATCGGCCCGTACTCTGACCGTGTGGGCTACGGCATCGACCCAAACCCGCCGCAAGGCTGTGCCGTCGACCAGGTCATCATGCTCATGCGCCACGGCGAGCGGTACCCGGACACCACGACGTACGGGAGAATCAAAGCCGTGCTCGACAAGCTGGATGCCGCCGGCGTTTCCCAGTGGTCCGGGGACCTGGCCTTTCTGCACGATTGGACCTTCTACATCGACGACCCGGGCTTTTTGGAGCAGGAGACCTTCTCCGGTCCGTACTCGGGTCTGCTGCACGCCCTGAGACAAGGCACCGAGTACCGCGCCCGCTATGGCCACCTGTGGGACGGGGAGTCCGTGGTGCCCATCTTCGCGGGCGACTATGAGCGCGTCATCGAGACTGCCAGGTACTTTGGCATGGGATTCTTCGGGTACAACTACTCGACCAACGCGGCCATCAACATCATATCCGAGAACGCCACACGCGGCGCAGACAGCCTGACGCCCAGCTGCCCGGCCGACAAGAGCTTGCTGGCGTGCTTCTATGCGCAGAGGACTTTGCCCCAGTTCAACGTGGCGGCGGCGCGGTTGAATGCGCAGAACCCAGGACTCAACCTGAATTCTTCCGACGTGGTGCCCTTGATGAGTGAGATTGTTCCTCCTCCTTGTTCCCCAATCCCCCCTCTCCCTTTACCGGCCGGCAGAAGAAGAAAAGCAGAGTCACGAACTGACCAAACCCCTGCTGCCGGACACTCTTGGACAATAGGTATCGCCACATACGAGCTTCAGGCTCGTTCCTATTCACCCTGGGTGGATGCCTTCACACTCGATGAATGGATCGCGTTCGGATACGTCCAGGACTTGACTTATTACTATTGCTCTGGGTACGTCTGAAAATCTGGGGGGGGAGAATTATACGTCTGTGGTTGTCGTCTATATACGAACATGATGTCCCCTCATGGCACCGCTCCCCTCGACCAAATGAATATCCAGCCCTGACCCCGTTTTTTTCTAGTCCCGGAAACCCATACTCGATCGCGATCGGCCAGGTGTTTGCGAATGCGTCGCTCGCACTTCTCGAGGCTGGGCCAAGTCACGGTACCATGTGGTGGAACTTGTGAGTACCGTACCACCATACATATAGACCCCTCGCTTCGCGAACGTCCTTTTATATTTGTGTGTGTGTGTGTGTGTTATAGAGGGCTCAAAGGCTGACGCTGTCACCACTCCTTTTGTTTGTTTGTTAGCGCCCACGACGCCAACATCACGCCCGTCGTGGCGGCGCTGGGCCTCGACGTGCCCTCGTCGCCCCTCCCCAACGACACCGTCCCCTTCCCCAACCCCTACCGCGTCACCGACATCGTCCCCATGGGCGGGCACCTCGTGCTAGAACGGCTCTCGTGCAACGCGACCGCCGCCCCGACCCCTCAGGGAATCTACGTCCGCGCACTGATCAACGAGGCCGTCGTGCCCTGGCCCAAGTGCCAATCTGGCCCGGGCTTCTCGTGCCCGCTGGCCGACTACGCCGACATGGTCGCCCGCGCGCCCAACTTCGTGCAGTCCTGCAACATCTCCGCGCTGGGGTATGCCGAGTCCCTCGACTTTTGGTGGCGGTACAACACCTCCACCGAGTGGAACTTTCAGCACGGGAGTATTCCCTGGCAGCAGACGTATACGCATGTCAACGGATGATGGTGCTCGTAGGCACGGTCAGAAACCTCAGCAGTGCCTGGCTAGTGACGGGGAGAGTTGGTTTGGGTTGGCAACTTGGGGCTGAGGGAGGAAAGCTTTCATGGTGGTATCTCTTCGATTCTGCCCGTAGATGCTCAGCGATGAGCTGGATAGATCCTGATCGTAGTTAGATAACCAAGTCATTGTCCATACGAGGTACATACATGTTACATACCCAGTTCCTCGGCAGAATGGAGTAACATGGAATGAATTAAACAGAACCACCAAATCAATTGTTTTTCTCTTTTCCTTAGTTAACAAGAGACCAATATAAGAAAAAAAACCAGCACGGACCGATACATATTACATATTACATATTATGTATTCACCACCCCCGGAGCCTGACCGTCCTAGGTAAATTTCCCTGTCGCATACTTGTGAAATGCCTGCATGCCAGCCATGGACCATGGTAATATGATATAACCCCCTTGTCGAGATCGCATTAGGTACAGTAGATAGATAGTTAGCTAGCTACACGTAACGCGCGCGGGACGGTTTAGTCTTGTGGAATATATCATATCAGAGAGGACAGCTACAGAGAAAAACGAATTGAGATGCTGGGGAGGGACAGGACAGGACGGGACCGGACAAGAAAGGAGGTTGCTTGCTGGATTCCTCGTGTGTGAACAGGGACGGGGAAGGGGACAGGGACACAACAGATCTGTACCACGTACGGAACATGTAATTATTGTCCCTCTCCCCCTTTTGCAAAATGCGTAGATGTGCAAAGTGTATGTTCTCTTTTCTGACGATAGGCCCCGTCCTATCCTGTCCCTGCCGATAAAATATCAACATTGCTCGATTCTCTCGATGTGCAGTAAGTAAGCGCTAGACAGGAATTTCACAATCCACCATATCATGTATGTAACGTAGGTCAGTGTTTGTCTTTTCTCTTCACCATGCCCCGTGGCCATGACCGACATATCTCTCCCTCTCGATAAAGAACGATCGACTCGAAACCAGTCGTTCGTTCATTCGTTCGTTCTCCCGCGAACATACCACGATCAAGGCTTCGCCGTTGAACTCCTCCACGCCCGTTCAAAGAGCCCCTTTATCCTCCCGGCCTCGTCGGACTTGCCTATCCGCTGCTCCAAAAACTTTTGTAAATCATCCCAAAACTCCTTTGACTCGAGGACACTCGTCCTCGACGTCAGTACACCTTCCATGGGCGTGCCTTGTGCATCTTCTCTCTTGATTCCCGTCTGCGCAGCGCCTGTCCCTGCCGCCGCCTCCAATGCATCTGTTATGGTCTCGTGTAGCGATGCTGTGATGTGACTCTGAGGCGGGTCGGGAGCGCCGCCCATGATCATGACACCAAACTCCACATCGGACCCTGCAGTCAACCCGGACCCTTCCAGCGCCTCTGCAACGGTTCGTTTACTCGGTGGTATGGGCTTCTTGTTCAAGAGTAACTTGATCTTATCCAGATTCACCACGCTAGGCCCTCCTAGGTACGTTTGGATACGTTCCTTGAGAACTTGGATTGCCGCCGTCGTGGGCGGCGTCGAGGGAATCACCAGGGTCATGTTGGGATTGCGCGCAGATTTGAGGATCAGGGTGATGGTGGGTGTCGGAGGTTGGGAGCCAGGCGGTGGTTCGGGGACAGCGACTGATCTAGGCGGCGGCGGGTGTGGTGGTGTTGAGAGCTTGGGCAGGGTATACTGCTCATAAACAAAAAAATATCTTTGTTAGCACGGTCCAGGAACAATGTCATTCTGCAACAAGCGATCTGTATTCGTTCATCCTCATTCATCGCCCGCCCACCCGCCCGCCTTCTCGTGGCCGGGGCACACTTCTACGTACGCCCCCAGCCGTGACAACAGAAAATGGCGTGCGCAAGACTTACCGGCAACCGCATTTGAAACGTCGTCGGATCAAAGACATGGTCAGGCTGGTACTTGTTCGGCTTGTTGTCCAGCGACGTCAGAAACTGCTTCGCGAATTGGAGGTCGCCCATGTTGCCTGCTCGTGCTTGTCGCTCTTCCTCCAGACGGCGCAGGGCGTGTTGCAGAGCAAATGCTGCCAGATTGAATAGTAATGGAACCGTGAGCAAGAATGGACCTGACTGGACCGCGAAGGGTAGAAAAGTTGAGAGAATGTACGAGTAGTCGCAGGTGGGAGTAGCGCATCTGAAGTCCGACTGAACAGTGGCGCTGACATCACCGCGCGAGGCTGCACAAGGCTGAGACCTCTAAATTGCCCAGTTCAATACAAGACGATTTCAACAGGTATTACATTCGCAAAGAGAAGAAGAAGTACTGCATTAATTCTCTATGCTAGACATATCAGGTATGTAGGCTCAAGTGGTATCATCGCCAGAAATCATCATAAATTCCTTCACATCATGAATGCTAAAAGTACCAAACCATATTCCCGACTCCGACTCTAGAAGACAGGCACAATATTCTCATTATTTCCATCAGTTCCCTCCACATACCAAGCGTGATGTACAGTCTTCAGACTGCCGAGTCTCTTCAGACTGGTCGTGCGGCTGACACTGCCCATCCTGGAGACCCCCTGTCTTAAACTCTTGAACCGCGTGATCGGGGGTTTGTTTTCCCCGTTATTCACGGACAAGTGCTGCCCTTCGAGTTCCACTGCCTTGGAGCGTGGAACCACGTCAATGTGGTCGGGAACGCCGGCCTGAAACTCGCTGTCCACTTGCGTCACATTGATCTGAGGCTTGGCTCCTTCTTTCAGACTGTCCTGGCTGTAGATCGAGGCTCGATCCCGGAGGTCAACCATCTCGAAGGCGTCTTCCTCGTCCTTACCACCGACAAACGAAAACGGAGTCTGAGGACGATCTGTCGGGTCGGTGCCCGTGGAAAGCTTGGTGTAGTGGGCGTCTCGCTCGCTGCCGGGTCCTTGCATGGCGGTACTGATCATGTTAATCAAGGTGCCGGCGCTCTGTTCCCCACTCTGGCGTGCGAGTTGCTGACTTGGAAGTGGGGCGGCTGCTGATGATGCGGCTGTCTTGTCTTTCTTGCTAAGACGTCGAGAGAGCGATCGTGCGAGAGAAGAGTTGCGGAACAACTTGAACTCGGTCTTGTGGGCTTTAGCCACAAGGGGGGAGTCGTCTCGGTAAGTCGAAAGGTGGGAGTTGGACGCCCTGTACGTCGACGCCGACGGAGGGATGACGTCAATTCTGGGATAGGCCAGGTTGTTTCCGGGGGCATTGGGTTGAATCGAAAGACGAGGCCTCATTGCAGGGTGATTTGCCATAGGCACGGGTGCGGTTGCAGGACCTAATCCATTGGAACGGAGCTGGTCAGGCGAATCATGTGCCATGCCAGGCCGCTTGTATCTTCCACACTTTGTGCAGCACCGCGAGTGTGTCGACGACCCTGGTGAGCTTGAAGGGCCTGCTGTGCTCTCCGAGAGCCTGGATGAGTTGTGAGACACCTGTCCCTCAGAAACAGTCCGGGCGTGCGCCGCGGGCATGGGCGCTGGGGTGACAGTCGGAGGGGTCGATGTTGTAGCGTGGGACCTGCGTTTTCCGCACTGATTGCAGCCGTGCCCGCGTCCATTGCTTTGACCATTTGGGTTGCCGCATCTCCCACACCTGGGTGAGGTAGACGGAACATTTGGAGCCTCCGTAGGGTTGACAGGATCAGACGCTTGACGCCTGTACACCGGTGGAAGTGCGCCATCGTGCATGTCCTTCGCGACCTTGACGACCTTTGGTTTTTCCTTCTCCGCCGCAGAATTGGATCCGGGGTATGGCTTTCCATCGAGTCGGCGCAGATCGACTGATCTTTGGTGGTCGCCGTGAGGTCTCTGTGGCTTGGGACCCTGGATGGTCGCTTGGGAGGAGTGCTCAATAGGACTGGCCTCGGCGATCGGCGAGACTGGAGAGAAAGGTGATGTTTGTAGCGTGGCGGTCGCAGCTGGCCCAGGTCTGAAGTTGGGGGAGAATGGGTTCGTGTCAGGTAGAGGATCATTGTAGGAGCTTGGTAACACGGCCGTGCTGACATTCACGGGCGGCTGCGCGTCTTGTGGCAGATTCTCGTAGGGGACAGCCGTCTGGAGAGAGCCAGCAGAGCCTTGTGTGGTTGTCGGTTTGCCTGGGTAGGCGGGGGGAGGCGACTTTCTTAATTTGGTCATGGTGTCAACTGGCGCTTACAACTTCACAGAGGAGGAACAGAAATTATAAGGATCAGATATTTAGAACAAAAGGCCCAAGTAATAGAGACAGAAAAAAAAGACAAGGCGGGAGAGTTATGGCGGTGTATCAGAGTGAATGACGGTGAGATGCAGGATACTAGCGAAGACACCGGAGGAGATCGACAACGTCAAGATTCCCCGATGACGGACGGGTTGAGAACGAACGGAAATGCAGGAGCAGGAGCAGAGCTGCTTTGCAGAGGAGGACAAAGTGGGAGAAAAAAAAAATTACAGCAAGAGTGGAAGTCTTGTTGAACGAGAATGGAGATGATGTTGGGTCAAGGGTGGACGACAGGCAGATATGAGTGCCAGATGGAGTGCAGATGGACACCAGAATGGACGCCGATGGCTGATGGTGGTGATGGTTCCAAGGTTGGCTGCAGACCGGGTGTCTTGGTATTGCTTTGTTTGTGAAGCGAGCTATACTGCGAGAAGACGGCCATGACCTAAATCGCCTAAATCACCTAAGAATCACCTAAAAAATCAGTCCCTCTAGGCTATGCGTGAGCACCGAGCAAGGTTTTGGGCAGGGTAGGGCAGGACAAGGGCTAGAATCAAGGTAGTTGGACGGTGGCAGCCCGGCACAGCTCAGGTTTTGGACTAAAAATGACTTTGTAGGAATCAGGAATCAGGAGCCTAAAAGCCCGGGAGCCCAGAATCAAGGACCTGGGAAGCTACTCGGCTACCTAACGTCTTAACCCCAGGCCAGGCCAGGCCATCATGACTCCTAAAACCGGCAGTCCGTCATACCACATTCCATTCTCCAAGGCGGATTTTGTTGATGGTAACAACACCTGTTGAGTCTTAACAATCCAAGTTGAGGCAGGAGAGCAGGAGTTAGAGGTCTGCAGTGTCCATCTGGTGGTGAGTCTTGTGTGACGTCAAAGTGAGAGAAGAGGTACCTTGATTGAGCCGACAATCACCACCAATTTTCAGGTACCCTGCATTCACCTTCAGATCTGCACAGCATTTGAATACTTGGAAAAAGGAACAGGAAAGTGCCACCCACCCCTGCTAAATTGTGCCTGGGTGCCTGGGGCCCGAGGCACGATGCCTATCCAATCGCCAGTGGCTGCGCCACCCACGCCCATCGCCCCCCCTCCCCCAAAAAAGGGGGAGGAACCCGTCGCAATTCTCCATGCGGTTTAGCCTCGCAGTGTGGCTTATCCGTTACTATGTTAGGCACCGTCGTTGTGACCACGAGAAACATGGCTTGCCTAGTTGCTCGCCACGAGATTGGAGTACTCGTAACAGCATTGCCTTGATATCTAAGATATGCACCCCTCGGCCCAACCAAGCACTCGTGTTTCCCACGCGTACTCGTATCTGTGGAGCTTGGCTGGATGGGATGGCATGTGAGAACAACCACATACCAGTGCCGTGAGGAATGAACAAAGCACCACGTGTGTGATCGACCCTTATCATTGTTTCGAGGGAATCGATCCTGGTATAGGAAAACCATCAAAGGATGTCGTCACTTCAGTTCGGCCGGGTCAGCAAGATCATGCTGTGGTTTGGACGGATTCTCCCGTCACCGTCTTCATGCCTAACTCACTCATAGGCAGGATCCGTACAACCCGGTGTACCACATTTGGCCTGGAAACCCCGAGCTGACCGCCTGCGCAAGAGCATGATAGGCTACAGTTCCTCCCCAAATATGTCCAAGGAATGGGAAAATATTATTTCCACCACAGGAAGAAGGAAGGAGGGACGTCGCGTGACCCCAAGATACGCTGCCACCCTCTTCCGCTCTCGGATCAATGGCACTGACTGTAACAGCGAGATCGGTTGCACAAAAGCCCGCGGGAACAAGAATACTGCACCCTCGTCCATCACCACAGGATGGACAGACGCAAGCATCCGGCATCCCACTCCCTGTCAGCTTTTCTTGCAGGATATATGTGGATGAGTCGGTCCAAGAGTGTGTATAAATAACAACGGCAACGGGATGCCCGCCACATTTGGCTGTTGGTGCCATCGCGACTTGTCTGGGGTTTGACAGCCAGGTTGAAAATGTGGGATCTCCTGTTACTCAGCCGTAGTTCACCTCAGAATTCGTCCAACCTTCCGGAGAGTTTCAAGGCGTATGCTTTTGGATCCAAGGCCTCAACAGCGGAAAACCCCGTTTTCGATGTCTCATTGTCGAGATCAAAGCTGGGCAAGCCTCCAAGTGGGAAGGTCGTAGGTGAGCAAACCTGTGAAACACTCGTATATTTTCAGCCTTGCAACCCGAGTCCTGTGCGACATTCATGCGTGCCTGCGATGTTTCCCGATCTCTCGGATACGAGGACCTTGTGTTCTCAGGCGCCTATCATCGGGCCTTCCGTTGGATTGGTGCATATGCAAGGACCCGAGACCACTTGCTAGCTGAAGCATTATTGATCGCATTCCAATGTCGCCATCCGCGCGACCGAAGACCTGGAAGCCCGAGTGACAGGCACATTCCTGAGCCACAGTCCAACCTGGCAAGGGGTTTTTTTGACACATCAACGGCTGGGAGGGAAGTGACAACCGTGAAATGCCGTGCTGTCTTGGTTGCTCGTCGCAATGCAGGTATTCACCCCACATCGTCCTCACAGGCTGTAGTGATCGTTATGGAAAGTCGCACTCCTGCGTCCTTGAGAACTGAATATGGTAATCGATCCAATCAATCCCCAAGGCCCACTCTGGTACAAGGTACTTACTTACCAGAGGAGCATCATGAGATAGAAAGCTGAGAAAAGACACTGGAAATATCTTGGCCCCTTTGCCGAGGGCGGACAAGGCTTTGTATAGCATCACGACAATCGACAA